AAGTCAGCCAGGTCCGATTAATAGTAAAGTCGATTCTTACTAGATTAATATTGTAAAGGGGTTACACAAGAAAGGGTCGCGCGACTATAGATAGGTGTGTATTGTACAATTAGTGTACAAACACAGTGGTGAGGCTACACCGTAACCACGTATTTCGCTACCACAAAATCAGTGCTTCGCACGCTGGACAGGTCATTCAGTATCGCTGCCACTTTGTAGCCCAAATGACTCTCCCGTTTGAATATCAGGACAGCGCCTATTAACAGTTCCATATTCTCAACTCGATGAAGATCATTCTTGTAAAGCGCGGCTTTAATGCTTCGAGCCATTCAGTCCTGATATGCAGCCGCATTGTCCCAGCTCAACAAAAGTATACCCTATCCCAAAGCCGAATTTATCCATCTCTATACTTTAAAGACCACAGCTCATCTCTCCTCTTCCTTGATTTTTTAAGCTTAGGGCTCTTTGAAAAGTTGTGGTTATACATCTCAGACAATTGAATGCTTTGATGCAAAGCTGTTGTAATGTTTGCCCGCGCCAGACGCCCTGAAAATGGCGGGGCCAATACTTTGCTAGGGCTAGAGAGCGTGTGAGTGTGACCCAGCACCATCGAACGCTAGTCGACCCATGGCTCGTAGTTCTTCAGTCAGGCCATACCGTTTTCATCCAAGTTTACGCTTAGTACCCTTGCATATTTGTTGACTAGTTTCAGCAGCAGGGCATCGTAAATAACTGCGTGTCGCCTTTGATCTATCAGAGGTTTCATGAAATCTAAAGAGCCCTGTACGTTACTTTATGCAACCTACACTCATCGTTTATAATTCACGCAAGATCTAGAAGCGAGACACTCCAACACAATAGCATTCCATGAAAACCGTAAACAATATTAATTTTGGAAAATGATCAATCAGTATCCTGAATATAAGGCTTATCATCTTGTGGACTCCAGTCCAATAATTCTATTTCTTCTTTACAAGTTGAGAACATCACACCGCCCATAGGAAGCATGATTAGGCTGCGCATTTGCGTCACAACTGTCGCCTCAGAAATGTTCTACTGTACGTCCTTGCGTGCGACCACTCTTGTTTTACCTTTAACGGAAGACGTCGTTGTGTTATGGGCATTTTCAGTTTAAAAACTCGTTGTATTGGTACCATTATCCGACTGAATCATTAACAGACCCTTTTATGATAGTGAGATCATCAATAATATAGCGCCCGATATGAGAATGGCAGCGTGCGTCGCTTTGAGTTGACTGTAGTTAGAATTTTAGTAATCATCATGTAAAATCTCTATGTGCTCTATCTTTCTATTGTGTTCGTACATGTTATACTTATGTGCAACTGTCCTAACTATCGTATAGTACAAATTTTGTATCTCGCTCGTATAATAAAACGTATATAAGACGAGTTGAAGTGAAATTATTTGCAAGATATGTCACACTTGGAATAGGCCACGCCCTTAAATGGTGCGAACAAACCGAACTAACATAGGCGATGTCGTAAATTAACCAAAGGATAATTTAAATCAAAGAGTCCTCTTTAAGAACGCAAAGAGCTTCGATCCGTACGCTTCACCAAGGACAGGACTAGAGATCTTCAAGCGTAATCACTTTTCCAGTTTGCTCTACTGTTTCATGGGCAACCTAAAGTTTGCATTTATTCTATTTAGATTGATACGAATCATATATATATTCCACATCTTATTGAAACTGCTGCTCCACGTGCGGATCGATAAAGTTAGACTTGCGGAGTTCAAATCACGTCTTTGAGCTCAAGGTGTAAGTATCACCTTTCGTCACTGCTGTTTACAGCCCATCTTGTCTTATAACATAGTCATATCTTTAAATCCCTCTACAGCAGTGGATACACCAAACTTCCGTCGCAAAACGCACGGATATCATATCCGTACTTCGCATCTTTCATGTTTCCGCGAACTGCCTACTGTTTTCGACGTCCGAAAGCTTGAAACGCCAAAAGAGCAACTAGGATATTCAAGATCTCACAAAGCCCATGATGTTGAAATCGAAAATTTCAAAAATTGGTCGGTGAGTTCACCTCTACTAGAGAGAGTCGCTTCGTTCTGGTTGTGGTCGCGTTGACCATGATTTTCCCAACAGGCGCAAACGAGTCCAATTATTTCCTAGTAGCCATTCCTGCGTAGTCTAAGACGCGATCCATTTCCCGTAAAGGATTAGCCAGATGAGTGTAAATTAGGCTTCATACCTTTCAAATGTGAGCGTAGAGGCTACGAAAGGCGAAGATATTTCACACTATCGCAGATGAAACATCTGCAAATATCACGGCACTATTCGGCAGCTAAAGATGTCGCTCACTTCTCCACCGGGGCTAAGACGATGTTTTAGTCGATAAGTTTATAAATAACTTTTTCTTGCTTCTATTA